TGAGATGAGCGAAGGAAGAAGAACTGAGGCGCCGCGTGCGAGGGAATTGGGCTGGCCGGAGCGTGGGCGGCCTGGACTTGCTAACTAAACCGTACAAATCAGAGTTTCTCGGCTCAAACTATGCCGTGGCCGTATAAGGCTATAAGCAAACACTTTCCAGCAAAGGATATGCTTCTCAGCTCGAGCTCAGGTGAACAGTAAAATCCAAAAAAATGTTCTAAAAAATTGAAATAAATAAATAATGAATTTTTTGTGGCAAACTTTGATAAAAAAATCAATGCCTGTAAAGTTTTATTATGAAATTACATTTGTGCAAGTCGTGCAAAAAAAATCAGGACTCCAAAATGCTTTTGAAAATAACTTTTTTGGAGCATCGATTTAGTCTTTTTGCCAGGATTTCCACGAATGTCATTCTATGAAGAAACTTTGCAATAATTTAAAAAGATTCACCAAAGCTTGCTAACAAAAAATTCGGAATTTTTGATTTTTTTTGAATTGTTTTACTGATTTTACTGTTCCACATGAGCTCAGTTAATCTTGTTAGTTAAGAATGGACTGATACCTTTCTTCAAGGTGTATAGGGAAACTAGTTTTTTAGAAGCATTGGAGATAGCCAAAGTACAAATGTTGATAAGAACCCGGATGACAAATGTTGCCACATAGTTTGCAGAGGAATCATTCGGAGTCAACTATTTTATATGTATTATTGATCAACCAATTAGCTCAGTTACAAGCATATTGGACCAATATCAGGGGTACTAGCTTTTTACCTGTGAAAAGTTACAGTCATTGGATAAGAGGAGCTTGAAAACTTGTTGTAGTAATCTTGAGGTTGCTCTTAAAAAGGATGGAAAGTCTAACGTTGATGCTAATGAACTATATGTGGAGTTGATGTTTCCTCAAAATTCCATTCCAAAAGAAAAAACCGGGCCAGTTGAAATTCTAAAGTTTTTAAAGCGGCATGATTGTTTCCCCGATGCAAAGTATTACATATAGAGTTCTGTTGACTATCCATGTGACTGTTGCATCAACGAAACAAAGCTTTTTTTAGAAGAAAAGGGCTCGAAGCCCCGGGGGAACAGAGCTTTACTAAATAAGGCTATTGAAGTCCTAGATGTGAAGTACCATGACATAACAATGACTCACTGATTTGGCCAGAATAACATTGGAGAGTGGTATATTGTAGAAGATTGATTATGAGAATATTATTGAAGATTTTATTACAAAGAACACTAAAAGAATGATGTTGTTTAATGAAGACTATACAACCAAGAATAGGAATTATTCTTGATACTTCCAATTGGTACGTAAGATATTATGATCTTTGTATAATTATAGTCATGTTTATGGAGTGTTTTTTTAGTGAGTTAAGTCCCATTTTACAGTTTCACACAGGGCCTTTGATTTTCCCGCTTGGCCCTGGAGAAGACCAAAGAGGCCCATGTATTGTTGCGTATGAAATCTGGGGCTCGGGCTTGTACTCATACTCACTTATATAGTTGGGGGATCTTATTCGCCGCATTCTGCGGCAAACAGACCTCCCTTCACCCATAGGGCGCTCCCGACTGGGCCGGGCCATTTCAAGTTGAACAAAGTGAGCTGTCGGGCAAAAAGCATTGCTTTGCACAAGCTGGGATTCGAACTACAGACTTAATGTTTGTGCATGAATACGGCTAACCAGTCCACCTATTGAACGTTGTTGACATAATGAGCAGAGCGAACTGTAAAGTACTAAATATACTAGCGTAAACTGAACATGACTTAAAAAGCAAAAAAAATATTTCAAATTTCGAACACTTTAATTAAGTTCCAAATAATTTTTAACAAACACGAACGAATTTTAAATTTCTCATCATGTTTTGAAACTATGAAGAAATTTTCAACTCCCCAAGCATTTTTCAAAAATGTCAAAAAAATCGTATTAGTAAAGAAACTCAAAAAATGGAACATCTTTTGAAATTATAAAAAATTTATTAAAAACTCTAACATTTTGAAAACATGAAGATTTTTAAAAATTCCAGAACAAGTTTTGAAAACGTGCACATTTTTTTGAATCAGTGAACAAAATTTAAAAACAGGGACGACGTTTTAGATTCACAACAATTTTTTAAACTGAGAACAATTGGAAAATCATGAACAATTCTGGAAAATTCGAACATTTTTATATAGGTGAACAACAAATTGAGACAGAAACTTTTTTCTAAACCTTTGGACATTTTTCGAAAACGCAAACAATTTTTGAATTGGTGAACGAAATTTGAAAATGAAAACAACTTTTTCAATACGTGAACAGAAATTTGGAAAGAGGATCATTTCTTGAAATTTGCGAACAATTTTTGAAAAAAGGAACATTTTTGAAATCCCAGCCATTATTTGAAAAGTTTGAACAAAACCATTCTGAACAATTTTTGAAGAATGAGAACATTATTTGAATTTATGAACAATTTTTTAAAACACAACCATTTTTAAAAAAATTGAACATTTTTTTGAAAGCACACACATTTTTTAACTTTACGAACAATTTTTGAAACATGAACTTTAAAAATAAATAAACATATACTTGAAAAGTAAAAAAAGAAACATAAAAGGAAAAGAAAAGAAAGAAAAAAGAAATAGAAAAAGAAACAGGAAAAACCAAAAAGAAACAGGAAACAGTAAAAACTGGTGAAATAAAAAACGGTTCAAGAAACCTTGTAGAAGGTTCCCAAACCAGAAAACCTGGCTAGGAAACTCTAGAAGGTTCCCAAAACTGGAGAATGCTCGAACACATTCATGGGTCGGCCCAGGTCGCCGCTCGATTGCCAGCTCTGTGTGTTGCGTCGACAACTCGACGCGACGAGCGGCGAATAGAGAATTCCTATATAGTTATTTTTTTTTGCGAGAAAACTTCTGATCTATTCATTTTCAATTATGACTATACAACAAACACCGAAAATAACAAAAATTACATCCTGATTCATAGAGCATCTAGCGACGACTACAAGCACTGAAGCAAGCCGAAGGCGCGCCACCGTCATCGCCCCTCCATCGCCGGAGTCAGGCACAGCTTTTGTAGTAGACAGTCGGAACGTCGTCGTCCTAAGGCGCCATAGGACCAGCGCACCAGAGCAGCAACCACCGCCGATGAAGAAATAACGTAGATCGAAAGGATCCAACCCAAAGACACACGAATATAAACGAACAACGACGAGAACCGAACAAATCCATCAAAGATAGATCCGCCGAAGACACACCTTCACACACCCACCAACGATGCTAGGCGCACCGCTGGAACGGGGCTAGGCGGGAAGACATTTATTCTATCTCCAGGGAGCCGCCGACGTCTCGTCTTTCTGAACAGGATACAAAGCCTAACAAAATGAAAAGGAACGACTAAAATCGGAGCCCTCCCGCCGGCCCTTACTAGGATCCACGGCGTCCCATGGCCCTAGGGCCACCGGAGACGAGGCGGAGCTGCGGCGGCGCTGGCAAGAGGCAGGAACCCTAGCTTTTTTTGGAGAAGGAGCAGGAGGCGGTGGCTATAGTTACTCTCTCCGTCTCAAAATTTTTATCTTAGATTTGTCTAGATGCGGGTGTATCTAATACTAAAATGTGACTTGATACATTCATATTTAGACAAATCTAAAACAAGAATTTTGAGACGGAGGGAATACTTTTTTAGGGGTCACTTATATACTCCCTCCGTTCCGAATTACTTGTCTTAAATTTGTCTAGATACGGAGGTATCTAGCATTAAAATGAGTCTAGATACATCCGTATCTGGACAAATCCAAGACAAGTAATTCGGAACGGAGGGAGTAGTTACTAGTAAACGTGTCCGTGCGTTGCTACAGGTTGACTTCTATTAAATTTGGAGTATTATTAAGTGCTCGAATATTTGATAAGTTTCGTTATTCTATTTCCAAAGTTCAAGCTGCAGTTGATGTACTACTGAACGGAAGGAATCCGAAGCTAGACCTAAAGCTACTTTGAAGTCTTAGCCGCAACCATCTGCTTTGGATCGTCAAAGGAAGCCCATATTCATTTTGTCGTGTTAGGCGCCGAACCAAGAGATCGACAAGCGTAACACACGACATGCTCGCCTCTTTTCTCACA